CCTATTGTGCCACTAGAGCGCTCTACTCGCTATCCCTCGAAGGACGAGCACCTCGTTTCCTGCGCCGCTGTAACAAGAATGGAACTCCCATCTACTGTTTTGCCATTGTCATGCTATTCCCGATGCTATCTTTCCTCCAAGTTAGCAGCAGTTCTGCCGTTGTTATTACATGGCTAACTGCGCTTATCACGGGAGGCGGGCTGATCAGCTTCATCATCATGTCGATCACGTTTATCAACTATCACAAAGCCTGTGTCGTTCAGGGAGTTGATCGCAAAACTCGACCCTATTATGGATATTTCCAGCCTTACGGTGCATACATTGCTTTGGGGTTCCAGCTACTCATTCTCTTAGTGTACGGTTACTATGCGTTCCGTCCGTGGTCAGTAGAGCTGTTCTTCCAGAGCTACACTATGCAGATCCTGGCCATTGTTCTGTTTTGCGGATGGAAGCTATTTAAGAAAACTAGATACATAAGACCTCACGAGGTTGATCTTATCTGGGAGCGGCCTTTGATTGAAGCCTATGAGGACTCTCTAGTTGATCCGCCAGTTGGCTTTTGGACTGAAATGGCGCAAATGGTTGGATTCCGAAGGAATAAGGTAGGCTTTCATTAATCCATCTTTGGGCCGAGAAAAGCTGACCTTGTTAGGTTTAATGACCCTCTCTCTCTCTCTCTCTCTCTCTCTCTCTCTCTCTCTCTCTCTCTCTCTCTCTCTCTCTCTCTCTCTCTCTCGGCGCAAATCTCATGCAGGATACCTTGCTGTCCTTAGATCCCATGTATTCCTTCATTCATGCTTCGGCCGTCGGCTTGGAAAACTTTCTAGCACTCTGAGCTGATAGTGGTTGTATCGTTCGCTAGGCCAATGACTTTGCTCTCCTGCCAGGCCTGGTTGGCTCCGAGCTTGGAAGATAGGATTACAGGGGATATTGCTCAGATGGAACGCAGCTCCGAGATCACAAGGTCCACAGAAACTCACTGGAGATTGACCAGAAAATTGGTGGAGAAGAAGTGATCATTACACTTCTTAAGGGCATAGTGGGTCGCTGACCGGACAGTCCCATCCTAAATGGCCGCCATTAACTGTGCAATCATCTCTCACCTGTTGATCAAGGCCATTAGACATCCCAGGCAGATTTGAAAGATGTGCGACGTGGCTTTGTTAGCCCCGATTCGGCATTCCCCTATTTGGATGCTTCCAATTCCCGATGTCATTGACGTCCATCCTGAATGAGAGTTCCTCTAGGTTTCCAGCAGCACAGTGCGCCCTGCAACTTGCTGCAAAACAAGCACTGCGACTCTGTGTGGTAGTGACTATGATCGGGCAGTTCAGGATTGCTATCAGCGCAGTGTGATGGAGAATAGCTCTCTACAGGTAAGGTACGATTCATCAATTATGGCATCTAAGTGAACACACTGCCAGTTCTGGACAAAGCTGAAACATTCCTAGATTGCCTACCTAGACGGCCCGAGGCGGTATGAATAAAAAAGTGCAAGGGCTGGGGATAGAATGAAACGGTCACAAGACAAGCCTGTTTATCAGCAGTTACGGTGTCTATCTTCTTTATTTCCGTGGGTTAACCAGTGCTAGTCCGTGGTTCATATTGGCATTATGACTTTCCATTTTCGCCCCTGAATTGCTACGCAGGATCCTCAATTTATTTTACAGGCTGGCCAGAGTTGTGTTAGCGCCATGCCGATGTTTTGGAGCAGGTTGGTGGAAGATAAGGTTAAATTATAGCCTGGCGGCGATCCTAGTTGGCTCACCGGAAATATAGTCTCGGAACGGCAGTTGAGCTTGACGCCTGCGGGGGAATGGTTTGTTTATGTCACGATTGAGGGGCCTTTCTCGGGCCAAGTATCTGTATTAGGCGCTCAGTATCGTACTCACCGGCTAATTTAAATCCGGAACTGTTCGTATGTGCGTCGAGTCACACCATTCAGGGATGCGAAGCGAGGTTGGCATCGTCGCCAGTCCTAGATGAGGGCCAAGCCCGAAAAACTGAAAAGATATAAGAAGATGTCATTTCCATCCCTTCGAGTAGCGTTCATAACCGCAAAGTTGCCAGTCACTCCTCTTTCTCGCAGGGCATAGGTCAACGTTCACTGTCAGTATTTGGAGAGAAATCACGTCAAAACATTGCCCATCATGAAGCTGTCTCTTCTCATAACAGCTGCAACTTACGTTGCAACTGCGCAGAGCGCAATTACTTGGAGCATCGAGAAGGCTGCAAGCCCTACGGCGGACCAGACAGACGCGTACAACAAGATCGAAGCTGCAATGCGTCTTGCTGGTACCCGCCATTCTCGTCTCGGAAGCGCTACAAAGAATTTGCGTGTTTATTATACTCCTGGTGTACCAACTGCGGAGGCAAATTACAACGGCGACGTCAGATTCGGCTCAAACCGAGCATATATGAATGAGAGAACGGCCCTCCATGAGGTCTCTCACACTCTGGGAGTTGGACAAACTGCTGCGTTCGATAGGAAGTGCGCTGCTGGAGATTGGGCTACTGCGCTGCCATTGCTACGATCGTGGGATGGCTCAGGAGCAGTCATCAACTGTGGTGGTTCCCACATCTGGCCTTACGGGCTGAACTACGATACCGAGTGGAGTGAGACAAACGCCAACCGTCATGTCCAACTCATAAATGCTATGATACGGGATGGCATGTAGCTGGTGTCAGCGCATTTGACATTGGGTAATGTCTTCAAGGGAGTTTGTTTTAAAGCTGTTGATAACATTCTCGACTGCAGCTATCGTCTTCTTCGTCGGCGCGTCATATGTCATTGAACTTCTCTGGGGGCTTAGTATGGCATTTGAGTGGTTTTAGAATTACATGAGCAAAATTTCCACTTATTTCTGGTTAATGCAATCAGATGCTCTAAGGCATGGAAAATGGAAGAATGGGTTTTCCGTCCTCTGTATTTGCATTTTCGTAACAACCTAGTCACGCACAGAAGTAGTATAAGAGATAAAACTTCTAACTGATAATGGGTAACAAGCTACGTTAGCCTTTGAACCTGACTTATTTCCTTCTAACTTTTCTGATTTCAATATTCGCTTCACCTACAAACTTACGACTTCTAGAAAATGTATGAACAAGCCATCGGTATACGTCAACAAATCATGATTCAGACCCGTACCCATGTAGTTTGTGCGCGTTACTAGGCCGAAAATCCCATTCGATAAGTTTATAACGTCATGTACACCTCTTCCGAAATCCCGAAGCTATGCGATCTTCTGCCACGTCCCGTAGTTGAATTGTCCAGATTACTTACATGATGAGCAAACGAGCTTCGGTGAGCTGGGAAGCCCAGCTAAGTCCAAAGAGCTGACGATCCCAGATTCGTTCTAGATGATTGAGAGCTTTTAAGATGTTCTCGAAACGACTCTTCTGGTGAAATTCACGTAGGGTGATTCTGAAAAATTCCTTGTGCTCATCCGTCGCGCATCCTGACGCTGCCATAAAGAATGCCCAGATCAACACTTCTCTTCCTGGTGAGTTAGTGGGGAATGATTGGAAAGTTTCGATAAACAACTGTACTCTCTCGACAGATTTCGTTATGTGATCATCAAGACCAACAACTGCAGACTGTGGTATTATTATATTAGTACCTGCTCGATGGAGATAAATGTCGTGCGACTGCTGCACTAGGTTTATAATGCGCGATATCGTCTCGGAATGCTCTGGTCGCTGCTGCGAGCAGTGTCTCATGCATTCAAATGCTCTAGTGACTTGCGTTTGGGAACATAGAGTCAAAATGCCACTATTCTCGCTCAGAAGGGGAGCTGAATATACGCGTAACCTGCCAGCCCACAAATCAGTTCACCGTCATATGGGGCAGCTTCCGGCTATGCCACTGGGCACCTGGTCTCCCTTCTCCAAGGTAATCAGATCTAAGTCACTTACTTGTAAACCTGGCGCATTACAAAGGCTGAAAGCTCATCGCCTCCCAGGTAGTCTTCTCCACCAATAGTCTTCAGTGCAGATTCTAGCAGACGAAACAACATCGGGAAGTCATCCGATCCGGTCACCATGGCGGAAACGAGTAGGACAAGTATGACGACCAATGTGCGAATCTTACTCAAACGATCATCGGCTTCGAGGTCATGTAGTCTTCTTAGATCATGAATAGTCGTTGTGTATAGCTGCATCGGAACCACGGACACGTTGTGTAGCCTTGAATGTGTGACCTTATGCGTCTTACCTCCAGAACCAGCAGCACGTCTTTGGTTGCTCGAATGAAATAAAGCCACGGCGAGCACGGATTTCAAGACTAAGGGATCCGCATGAGCGATAGGTAGAACAAGGTGGCGCCAGCCGTTATGGTGACCGTCCGCGACCACCATTTCTACAGCAATGTTGGCTGAGACTACAGATGTGAATATTAGCAGCGCGTTAAAGTGTGCCTAAAGAATATTTTGCCATTACAATACGACAGCAAATGAGTTTCCCACGGGTTCAAGTTGCTTGGGGTTGGTTGAATGGTGAGACAGTTGGTGGCAGCAACTACCATCTCAGACCATATGGTAGCAGTCCTATTTAAACGCTCGAGAATGATGTTACAGACAGTGTTTTTATGCCGTTCGTAGGGCGCAATACTAACACCGTCGTACTCTATGTGATCTGCCTCAGCTAATATCATGCAAATTATTAGCGGATGAGAGTAATCTAGTAGACGGTAGTTGGTCCCGAACCTTGTGCCATGCCGGGCGGTCCTAAAGTCGGTGAATGAAGCCCTTTCTTCGTTGTGCGCCATGTTTGTACATCATTGTGACCTCGTTCGTGGCCTCTTTGTCTTTTGAGTGGTTACTTCTACACGTTCTCAACCAGAGCGACATTTTGTGTTTGCACTCACTCTTCGTAGGCTTGCTGAACAGTTTTGCCTCTCCAAAAGCCTCGTGAAGCCGCCCCATCACTGAATCGATGTCGAACCCCCAGACCGCTGCACTTTAATCCTTTTTTAGAACACTTCCCGCATTCAGGCTCCGCGCGATCGCAGCTGACTCGGCGCTTCGAGCATTCGTAGCAACCTGCCGCCGGGATCAGTTAGTTTCAAGAAGCTAGATAGAGTATCATGAGATGGAGAATCTGGAAGAAGTACCGACCTCTTATCTTAGGTCGATAGGGCCGGGGCTTGCGGGGGACCATTTTGGATTGGGTTGCTCAATTGAAGCATGATTGAGGCTAAGACATGCAGAGGCGAGATAGAAACAATCATTTGAGAGGATTCTAGACATAGAAAGTCTCGTTAATTGTTGCCCAAGTGGCCATTTCTTCTCTCGAAATCAGTTGTTTAGGGAGATGATGCGTTGGGCGGCCCCTTGCCCGATGTTTTTGGGGACTCAACGCCACTCGCCCTTTTCAATGTTGAGATCCCAGGCTCTAGTAGTCAGGCTAGTCCTAACAAAGGAGGTTAAGTGAGACCAATTCCAAGATTCAAGGGAACCCACGTGCCCACTCGCCCGCATGAGAACCGATTCCGTAATACCCCGCACCTTCTCATAACCGAACTTTTACAGAGCGTATCATTCAAGGGCACAAAATCAAGTGGATGTTCCAACAGATACCGGTACACTGTGGCTGGCTACTTAGCCGACTGGTGTGTTGGGTGCCCCGATTTCCCTCTAATCGGGACTCTATGTCTTTGAACAAGATAATAGAAGGGGCAAGGACCCTGGAAATGTGAATGCTAGCAAATAGTATGAGATAAGATAAGATGAAATAAGATGAGATGAGACGAGATGAATGCCTTCATGTCCTAGGTACACTGGGACCTGGGTAACCTACTATTAGTGGCCATCTTGGTAAGAACTATACGCGGTAATATTATTCCAAGCCAAGTCCCTACTTAAGCAGCTAAGCTTTTAGGATTCTAAATCATTGTTTAAAAATATGAAGTTCGGGGATGAAACTGGAAAAAACCTCTAATTATAGAAATCTTGTTATCGCTAGCACATTGGAAGCGATGCTTATACTGCTTGCTTCACACACATTTCGGACCCACACCATGATTGTTCGTATTCGTTTTGTGTCGAAAGTGAGATGATCTGGAGATTCACTTACTATGCTTCTCCATTCATGATGCTGTTGGACTACATAACGCGTTTGGTGAACTATCCTATAAAAGCCAAGCTAGTTTCTAGGCATTTCTCCACTTGAGGGCCGCATCAAGCTCCATGTCCGTGACAGAGTACGTCACTTCTGGCTGAAGCAATGACGGTATTTCCTGACATTAGTTCGAAAGGCTGTTCGGTGCGCTACGGGGTATTTAGGAGTGCTATGTTACGGGCTAGACCCGATTAGTAAATCCGAGCCTTAGCCCGGATACTACTATAGCTCACTACGCCGTTTTTATAGAGGTCCTATTTAAATACTTTTTTTTTATAAAACCTCTATAGAACCTCTACTTTAAAAACCTCTATTCTTTAACTTAAATTCTATATATTAAAATCCCTTTAATATAGACTTATATAAGCTAGACTTTTAATATATTTAAGCTCTTTTTTTTATTTATTTTATTATTAATTATATTATATAATAAAAGTAAATATAATTATTAATATATTGCTAAGTATTTAATTAATAAAAGCTATAACGTAAACTTAAAAATAAATTATTTAGGGCCTATAAAAGCTAATAAAAGTTTAAAAATAAAATAAAATAAAAAAAGCGGCGGATATAATAAAATAAAAGCGCGAGCGTAAAAAGTTTAATAAAATCCTATAATTACTATAAAAATAGTTTTAATAAATAAATAGACCTCCCGTACTTTTTATTTAAAAAACCCGATCTTTATAAAACCCCCGTTAATTTAAAAACGCCCTTTAATAATAAAGCTCTTTATAAAAAGCCTTTATTAAACTTAGTAAAGTTTTTAAATAATAAAAACGAATATAGTATTTAAAAAGCCTAAATACGTAATAAACTCGTTATTAATATACTATTTTATTATATTAATAAAGAACGGAAATACTTTATTTTTTTATACTTTACCTTTTAAATTTAAAAAATAATAAACTAGTTTTATTATAAAAATAAAAAAAATAAAAAACGAAGGTTTAACGAACTCCTCGTATACTTTTTATAAATATATAATAACTTTTATTAAACTAAGAACGCCTTTAACGAACTATTAATAATAATTATAAAAAAGGGCGAGAAGTTTATAATATTTTTATTTTAATTTAAAAAAACCCTAGTTAATACTAGAGGTTAAAAATAGCTTACGGACGTTATAATTTAATACTTTACTTATACTTTAATTTTATAATTAAAAAAATATATAATCGCTACGCTTTAAAATAAATCGTTATATACCGGCTTTTTTTATAATATTTAAATAGTAATTAATAATATAAAGGGCTATAACTTTAATTAATATAACCCCTAGATTTTAATATAAAAAGGATATTATATAAGAAAAGAATGCGTTAATAATAATAGAGATATAACTATAATTAAAACTATAAAGGCTATAAAGCCCGAATAAAAAGCGAAACTATTAATAAAGCTAAAGACTTAGTACTATTTTAATTATAATAAAGTTAAATATATTATAAAGAACTATAAATAAAAACGAGAAGCTTATATAATTTAAACGGTATTTATAGAGTATTATATAAAAGAAGTAAACTCGGATAATAATAAATATTATTTAAAAAAAAATTAGCTTTGGTATAAAATCGGGTACCGGAGCTTATAAATAAAAAATAAATAAAATAAAAATTATTTAGTTAATAACGGATTATAAACGGGCCTTTAGTACTATTTATTATAAAGATTAATAAAATATATAAAACTTTAACGTTAATAAACTATAAATATAATATATATTTTATAATAAACTTTTAACTAGCCCGCTATCTTTATTTTTTATATATAAATAAAACGAAATATAAACTCTATAAATTCGTAAATAAATCTGCCTAAACTATAATTAAAAGGGTTATTATTTTTAATTTCGAAATTAATAGCTATATAAAAAAAGTATATATGTATATCGTTAAAAGCCTAAACGTAAATATATTTTTTAAAAAACCTTAAATAAAACAGAACCGCGTTATATATAATATAATTAAACGGCGGATTTAATATAAAAAAGGTAAAATAAAAGTATACTTTAATAAATAAAAAAAAAGTATTATAATATAAAAAATTTATAAAGTATAAAGCTTAAGAGCCCCCTCTTTTATTACTTTATATTATAAAGTTATTATAAAAAAAAAGCGCTAATTAAGCGAGTACGCTACGGGGATCTAAGTAATTAGCTTTATTAATATTAATAAAGCTTTAAAATTAAAAAACGAAACCGATTACTTTTTTTAGCTATTATAATAAATAAAAGAGGAATATAGCGACCTTTTTAAGCTATTTAAAATATACCCCTTTTTATTAACTTAATTAAGAATCGACTTTATAATTAACCTCGAGCGGTAATTTAATAAATAAAAAGCGCCCCTCCCCTAGGGCCCCCTTTATTTTATATCCTACGAGGAGCTATTAATACTATATAATATTTTTAAAGACCTATTTAATAAAGGTTTTATTTAAATTAATAGCTCTTTTATTAAAGCCCCCGTTCTTTTTATTAAAAAACTAAGGGGCGGCCTATACTTTTATTATAATTATAAAGCGTTAAATATAATTATATAAAAGGACCGCTACTTTTTATTATTAATTAATAAAACTTTTTAAAAAGTTAGTTTAGCGAAGTAATTTATAAAGCTAAACGTTATATATTATAGCTAACTAGTTATAGTAAGTATATTAATAAAAGTTAAGGTTACGAAGGCTAAGTAAATAGTATTATAGTTGTAAATAGCTTTTTTAAAGCTATATCTATAAGTCGTAAAATAAATAAAGCTTTAATAATTAATTATAGTTTTATTAAAAAGGGTTCTTAATAAAAATAGCTAAAAATAATTATAAAATCTAATATTAAATTAATTATTAAAAAAGCTATAAGAAGTCTATTTTTAAGCCCGGCTTAAATCTATACTATATATAAATCTCGTTTTTAAATATATCTTTTATAATATTTTATTTATTATTATTTAACTATTTACTAAATAGTCGTCCGTCCTATTTATCTATAATTATACGTCCTATTTATTTATAAATATCTATTCTTTATTTTATTATATAATCGTAGTTATATAATTTATTTATAGTTTTTCCGTTTAAGAGGAGTTATTTTAAGTCCGCTATTTCTATATATATAATATAATAGCCGTTATAAGTCCTATAGGGCAGGCCCTAGCTTTATTATATATATTAAATCGTAATATTAGCTCCTTTTTTTAAAAGTCTAGTCCTTTAAGCTTATAAATAAATCGCCTATTCCTAGGTTAGGGAATCGTTAAATATATTTCTATTTAAAAATATATTAATATAATATTAAGTTAAATTAAAAAATTAAAGTCTTAAATAGCTACGTCTCGTTGTAAACTATTATATATTATTTATTTTTTTAATAAAAGTATAGAAATTATATTTTATTTAAATTATCGTTTACGAGGCGTTTAGTATTTAGTTCTTTTTAATTCTAATATTTATAAAACGTACTATTACCTAGGCATTTTTTATAATACTTTTATTAATATTATTTATACTCGTAAGTATTATAATACTTATTTATTAAATTTAGCTAACTAATATAGTTAATTACTTAATATTAAAATCCGATCGTTTTAATTATAAAAAAAAATAAAAGAGTTATAATTTCGAAAAAAAGCTATAGAGTTATAAAAAAAAGCTAAAGCTTATTAAAAAGCTTAGGCCGAGTTAAATAAGTCGTTATTTAAGTTAAAACATCTTTATTTATAAAAAAGAATAGTTTTTAAAAAGAGTTATATTATATTAAAGGAATTCTTTAAAAATATTAAAAATACTTTTTTAATAGCCCGCGAAGTATAGGCTAATAATACTTTTAGTATAATTAATTAAAACGCTATAATAACTAAAAGTTCGGGTTTTAATTTTAATTTTAATATTCTTTAAAAAGCTATCGGGAGTTCTAAAGGTTTGTAATAAGTTTTTATATATTTTTTTTATATCTATAATTCTTCTATTTAATTAA